GGCTCCTGATGTATCTGGGTTTGCTTGGCAGGTAGTTTAACTCTAGGCATGGTTTTGAGCTTAAAATGATCTCTAAAAAGTCTTGGTTTTAGTGTGGAATTGAGGTTTTTGATGTGGGAATGAGTTTGGGAGGGTTGATTTTAGGTGAATTTGGAGAATGGAAGGTGTTTTGGGGGCTGAGTATTGCAAATGGGTTGTAGGTTTTGAGAGATTTTGGAGGTTTTTGAGGATTTCTCAGTGTGGAAGACGACTTAGGTTTTTATAGTCTGAGAAGTGACGTTCGAACGTCAGTTACGTTTGAACGTAGTTAGAAGGATTTCTAAAACATCGTTCGAATCTGTTTGTCGTTCGAACGTGGTGAACTTCCAGTACTTTTGAGTTCTGTCAAAGACCAAAGTACTGTAAGCGCTTGTCGTTTGAACGTGCTATTGGCGTTCGAACGAACTGAGCTCCCAGTACTTTTTGTTCTTCATCACAGGCTAAGTACTGTAAGCAAGAGACGTTCGAACGTAGCTTGGCGTTCGAACGTTGAATCAAACTCAAAAAAAATTTCAAAATTTTTTTGCACTACATTATACAATAAAATAGGACAAAACACACAAGTTTGAACCAAAAATTCATGGTGTCTCAGCATAAGTCCCTACCCATACTCAGCCCATATTTTCATTTCAGTCAAAAGAGTTTGTACAAAAGGATTTTTACACTTTTTACAAAAATTCGGACCCTTGGCTTTTATCCCCATAGCAAAATTTTTCATAGTTTAAACAGAATAATCCTAGTCTTCATCTGTCTCCGTGCCTTTTGAACGACCAGTAACTCTCCCAATTTCCTCTCTCACAAACCGGTTAAGTAGAGTACCGGAATAGGATGGTGTGTTAGGATAATCCTTACTCTTCCCATTCACTATCCAATCTAATCGATAGAGTGTGCGACCAGAAATTGGTTCAAAACACTGGTTATATTTCTTTTCATGAAAGATTCTACCACACTGTTTACAGGCACCAAGTCTTTTGGCACGATGGCATTTAGCAAAAGTGCTTCTGCTACACAGGGGTTTCGCTTGTTGTTCTCGGATCGCATTCTTTCTCACCAATCTTGTTTTTCTCATGATCACAGTATGCACTTCAGAAGGAAAAGTGCACAAAACTCCTAGACTAAACCAAAAAAGTTTAACATCCATGTTTTCTATGCTTTAAGACTCACTATCTGGTTCTTTAACATCTGTCAGTCACAAAGACGATCAGAGATGACTCACAAATATAATCATCAATTTATACAAAACATGGTACATAATCTGATCAAGAATAGCAACAACAACAACAAAAATTTTCTACGGGCACATATGAACTAAAGTTCTCACCCCCAACCTAAACTGAACATTGTCCCCAATGTTTCGAATTTACCGATATGGTGAGCTTTGGAGATGAGGTTGAACGGTAGAGATCTTGTTCATTAGCCGAAACCTACAAGCAAAATACAAAAATCAAACATCTCGTTGCAGATCTGGGTTTCCGCTAGGATGAAAATCTTTGATTCTGAGTGCAGACAGAAGAAGAAGTGCCATGTACAAATAGAATAAACACATGCAGATCATGAGACAAAGAGCTGGGTCTTCAGGTAGTATGGTCATGGTGTTGTTGGGAGATGGGTTGTGGTTCCAGAAGATCGTGAACAGCGAAGAAGCAGAAGAAGATGGAAAAAGGAAAAAAGGGAAGGGCGGTGGGGAAGAAAAAGGGAAAGGCGACTTATAAAGGTGCGCATGTGGGTCGAGTGTAATCGGGTTTTTCCTGACCCGCCTCTTTTTTTTTTGTGTCGGCAGGCGCTTTTCTCGAAGCGATGTTCTGGATTCATTAAAAGAATGGTCTCCACATTTTTGACAAAGTTTTTCAAAAATGGTTTTAACTGTTGACCATTAACAGTAAAGATATTACCGTTCGATGGATTTTTCACTTCTACTGCTCCGTGTTCAAACACCTTTTTGACAATATAAGCCCCTATCCATCTTGATCTCAACTTACCAAGAAAGAGGCGGAGTCTTGAATTAAACAACAAGACTTTTTGAAAAGGTTCAAAAGACTTCCGCATAATGTTCTTGTCATGAAAAATTTTCATCTTGGTTTTAGAAATCTTAGCATTTTCATATGCTTCATTTCTCAATTCCTCCAATTCGTTAATCTGAAGTTTTCTTGAAAGTCCACCCTTATCTAGGTCAAAGTCCATTGCTTTCATGGCCCAGTATGCCCTATGCTCCAATTCCACAAGTAGGTGACATGACTTTCTATAGACTAATCGATAAGGAGACATGCCCAAAATTATTTTAAACGTAGTGCGATATGCCCAGAGGGCATCAGTTAGTCTTGGAGACCAATCTTTGCGGTCTGGATTTATCATTTTTTCCAAAATTAATTTGATCTCTCGATTAGCTAATTCAGCTTGTCCACTAGTTTGTGGATTATAAGGGGTTGCAATTTTATGGAAAATCAAATATTTTTTCATCAGATTCCAGAAAGGGCGATTGCAAAAATGAGCCCCCCATCACTTATGATTGATTTAGGAACTCCAAACCGGGATAAAATATTTTATTTAAGAAATTTGATCACCGTTTGGTGATCATTATTTCGGCATGAAATTGTTTCAACCCATTTGGATACATAGTCTATGGCCACTAAAATGTATAGATAGCCAAAGGAAGGGGAATGTTTCCATAAAATCAATGCCCCAACAGTCAAAAATTTCAATCACAAGAATCAGGTTTAAGGACATCATGTTTCTTTTTGAAATGCTTCCCAACTTTTGGCATTTATCGCAAATTAAACAAAAGGCGTGGACATCTTTGAAAAGTGTGGGCCAATAAAATCCACACTACAAGATTTTTTCAGCGGTTTTTCTTGAGAAGTGGCCATCACATGCTTCAGAAAGGCAATAGGTTATTACCTATCTGCTTTCTTGAGCGGGGATGCAACGTCTTATGATTTAATCCTTACAGTACTTAAATACGTATGGATCTTTCTAAAAGAAGTTACGAACCTCCCCTAGAAATTTCTTTTTGTCTGTGGGGGAAAAAGACAGAGAGAGTGTTTTAGTAGCAAGAAAATTAGCAATATCACTGTACCATGGGGTCTCATCAATTATGAACAGTTGTTCATCAGGGAATTTTTTATTGATTGGTAGTCCATCATCATGAAATTCATAAGTTAACCTGGACAGATGGTCTGTCACCACATTCTCAACACCCTTTTTGTCCTTAATGACTAGGTCAAACTCTCGAAGTAAGAGTATCCATCTTAAGAGCCTAGGCTTAGCATCCTTCTTTGTGAGCAAGAATTTTAATGCTTCATGGTCAGTGAACACAGTAATAGAAGAACCAACAAGATAAGGACGAAATTTTTCCAAAGCAAACACTACCTCAAGCAATTCTTTTTCAGTTGTTGAATAATTCTATTAAGAATAATAGGGTAGTATGTGTAAATTGTTAATATTAAGAGGGTGCATGTGTAATTCTTATTAATGTAGGTTAACTATAAATACAAGTGATGTATGAGAGCTAGGTTATATTTTTTTAACCTATCTCTGTTTCTCTCTAATATTGTTAATCCTCTAAACTTAATATGGTATCAGAGCTCAAACGATCCTAAATATATTAACACTGTTGTGGTGTGGTCTGTGTTCATCGTGTGGTCTCTGTTCATCGCCCACTTGCATCGTTCATGGTGGTGATGTTGTGGTGGTCCCTGGCGGTGTGGTGGCAGTGGTGGTCGTCACTTGTGGTGTGTGTTGTGTCTATTAGTAATCTTCGTGGTAGTGGTGTGGTTGTGGTGGCTGTGGTGTGTGGTGGCAGTGGTGGTCGTCGTTTGTGGTGTGTGTTGTGTGCTGTGTTGCAGACGGTGGCAGTGGTGGTAGTTGCTTGTGGTGTGTGCTATGTCGCAGACCAGAGGGTCCTTTTTGGAACCCTAATTAGCGAGGACCAGTGTGATTTCATGGTAGTGGTGTGTGCAGTCGAAGACCAGTGTTCCATCGAATACTAGGGTTTCACTAGGAACCCTAATCTCAACAAAGAAGAAGACTCCATTGAGGTTGGGTCAGATCGGGTCAAGCCCATTGACTTAAATTATTTTAAGTCACATTCCAAGTCCAAGCCTAGCAGTCTAAGCCCATTAGTCCAGCAGTTTGGTTCGGGGTGAGTCCAAGTTCAACTCGGTTCAGTGCTCCAGCAAGCCAAACCGGCCCGATTTAGTGCTCCAGTAAGCTAAACCGACCCAGTTCAGTGCTCCAGCAACCTTTTCCAGCCCAGTTCAGCTTTCTAGCAGTTTCTTTTCCTCTATTTCAGCATTGTAACTCTTCTTGTTTACTATTTGCTGCATTATTATGGAACCCAAGCAAGATAACAGGTCTCTTACTCCATCTTTGTCTTCTCCAACTCTTATCAATGGTCCCATGACCTCTGTCAAACTTAATGGGACTAATTACACTTTATGGTCTCGATCTGTTCAAGTCTTTCTTCGAATATCTAGTGGGTTCTAAACCCAAGGAAGACACTCCTGGGTATGATCAGTGAGAACAAGAGGATGCTCAGATTATCTCTTTATTGTTAAATAGCATAGAGCCCAGTATTAGCTCTTCTCTACTCTATCTTGATACTACCAAAGAGATATGGGATCACTTGGCCACTATGAATTCTGGTACAGGTAATTTTAGCTGTGCGTATGAGGTGTGTAAGGAGTACTTCTGGTTGGAGTAAGGTACTCTGAGCCTTGTGAATTATTACTCTCATGTTCGAGGAGTCTATGAGGAAATGAAGACTTACCATCCGTTTACTACTGATGCAGCAGTTTGGCAAAAGCAACATGAGGACCTAAATGTTGTTAGATTTTTGGTAGGATTGAAACCTGAATATGAGGCTATTTGTTCTCAGATTTTGGGTGGATCTAGTCTTTCATCACTGTTGGAGGTTTTCTCTCGTTTACAGCGTGCTACACTGTCTACTCCTTCAGTCATTGATCATGGTGTCTCCACTGATCGCTCAACACTTGTGGTTTCTAATAGCCATAGTGATGGTCATTGAGGTGGACGTGGTGGTCACGGAGGTTGTACGGGAGGCCGTACGAGTGGTCGTGGAGGTTGTAGTGGATCCCGTTCCTATACTCACTGTGGCCGTGGAGGACACACTGTTGATTTTTGTTAGGATTTACATGGAAAATCTTCTGGTACTGCTAATCAGGCTTCTTATCAGGATGACACCTCTATTGTTGCTTCCATACCTCGGTCAGCTCCACCAGACACTAGGTCGGTTACTATTATACTGGGTCGAGAGGAGTATGCTCAGTTTCTATCTCAGTAACAGGGTATCCCATCTCTTTTCACTGCTACTTTTGCCCAGTCAGGTACTGATTCCACCTGTTTATTGTCCTCCACTCGCAGTCTTTGGATCATAGACTCTAGCGCCTCTGACCACATGACTGGTGCGTCTGATGTTTTCTCTACTTATCAGTCTGCTACTTCCACACGTAGTGTTACTCTTGCTAATGGTACTTGTTCTAAAGTTTCAGGTCTGGGGACTACTCACTTGAGTCCTGATATGTCCCTATCTTCCATGTTATTTGTTCCTCAGTTTCCTTTTAGTTTACTTTCCATTAGCAAGATTACCCGTTCTCTCAATTATTCAATAACTTTTTATCCCTCTTATTGTGTCTTTCAGGATCTCAAGACAAAGAGGAAGATTGGCACGGGGCATGAAGCTGGTGGCCTATATTACCTTGATTTTGATTTACCTACCTGAGCTCTACAGACCTCGTTGTCTCCTCTTCAATGACATTGTCGTCTTGGACATCCCTCTCTCTAGAATTTGAAGCGCCAAGTTCCCAGTCTTAGTTATGTGTCGTCTTTGTCTTGTGAAGCTTGTCAACTTAGTAAGTATCACCGTGTGTCATTTCAGTCTAAAGTTAATAATTGTGTGTCTAGTCCATTTGAATTAGTCCATTCTGATGTATGGGGTCCAATAAAGAATACTTCATCTAATAAATATCCTTATTTTATGACATTTGTGGATGACTATTCTCGTGTGACTTGGTTATTTTTTATGAAAGCTCAGTCTAAATTATTCTATATATTTGAGACTTTTCGTAAAGAAATAAAAACTCAGTTTGGTTGTCGTATATGTACTTTACATTCTGATAATGCTCGGGAATATGAATCTGATCCTTTTTCAGCTTATCTTAGTAAAACTGGCATTATTCATCAGACTTCTTGTGCTTACACCTCTCCACAAAATGGTGTTGCTGAACGCAAGAATCTTCATTTATTGGAAGTCACCTGTGCCCTGTTATTCTAGATGAATGTTCCCCAATATTATTGGAGTGATGTTGTTCTTACTGCTTGTCATCTTATTAATCGTATGCCCTCCTCTGTGTTAAATGGGCAAAGTCCATACTTTGTCCTTTTTCCTGGTAAGTCCTTATTTTTCCTGACTCCTAAGGTTTATGGTTGTGTCTGTTATGTTCACAATTTGGGTCCTAGATTTGACAAATTGACCCTCGAGCTACAAAATGTGTATTTCTTGGTTACTCCCGCACGCAGAAAGGGTATCGTTGCTATAGTCCTTCTCTGCACCGATACATTGCTAGTACGGATGTCACATTTGAAGAATCTGTTCCATACTTTCCAACACCTTCTCAGCCTTTGGATCTGGACTTTGGAGCCTTTCTTATACCACCATCTCTTTCCTTATCTTTAGATATCCCGCTGCCCATTGCGTTACCATCTACTTTACCTCTCTAGGTCTACTCTCGCAGTCCTCGCCCATAGACTAAAGTGCCCGTACCATCTTTCTTGTCGCCTTCTGATCCTGAAACATCAGGTAATTTAGATTCTTTACCTACTACTCTTCGCAAAGGTACTCGTTCGTGTGTTACTAATCATCTCATTTCTCATTTTATTTCTTATGATGTCTTATCTCCTGTCTTCTCCTGTTTTACTTCCCAATTATCTGTTATATCTATTTCTAAGCATTTACAGGATGCATTATCTGATCCAGGTTGAAAGAAAGCTATGGAGGAGGAGATGGATACTTTACATCATAATGGGACTTGGAATCTCGTTCATTTACCCTCTGGTAAACGAACTGTTAGCTTTCGTTGGGTGTATACTATTAAATTTCATCCAGATGGTTCTGTGGAGCGTCTCAAAGCCCGGCTTGTTGCAAAGGGCTTTACTCAGACTTATGGTGTTGATTATGAGGAGACATTTTCTTCTGTTGCCAAAATTTTTTCTGTTCGTATCTTGATTTCTTTGGCTGCTAATCTTGATTGGCCCTTGTTTTAGTTAGATGTCAAGAATTCTTTCTTATATGGTGATTTGGTTGAAGAGGTCTATATGGAGCAGCCACCTGATTTTACTGCTCAGGGAGAGTATGCTAAAAGTGTATGTCGGTTAAAAAATCTTTGTATAGTTTAAAGCAGTCACCGAGGGCATGGTTTTGTAAGTTTTCAGATGTAGTTTTAGAGTTTGGTCTTCTTCGATGTTAGACAGATCATTCTGTGTTTCATAGGCAGACAGATGCTGGATATGTCCTATTGGTGGTCTATGTAGATGATATTGTGATTACTGAAAATGATTCTGAGGGGATTACCAAGTTAAATATATTCTTACAGAATCGATTTCATACTAAGGATTTGGAAAAACTCAAGTATTTTTTGGATATTGGGGTGGCTCGATCTAAACAGGGTATTTGTTTATCTTAGAGGAAATATGTACTTGACATACTTGAGGAAGCAGGTTTATTGGGTGGTAGACTGATTGATGTTCCTATGGATTCGAATCAGAAATTATTGATGGATGATGGTGTATTGTTTGAGAATCCGGGTCGGTATCGAAGATTGGTTGGGAAGCTTAATTATCTCACTATTACTCGATCGAATATTTCCTATGCAGTTAGTATAGTAAGTCAGTTCATGAGATGTCCTAGAGTAAAACATTGGGAGGCAATTACTCATATTCTGTGATATCTCAAATGAGCTCCTGGACTTGGACTGTTATATCGAGCTAATGGACATCTTAGAGTGGAAGGTTTCTCAGATGCTGATTGGGCTGGCTCTCCTTCTGATCAGAGATCAACCACTGGTTATTGTACTTTCTTAGGAGGTAATGTTGTCTCATGAAAAAGTAAGAAACAACCTGTGGTAGCAAGATCCAGTGTTGAGGCTGAGTATAGGGCAATGATACATACTATGAGTGAGTTGACTTGGCTACTACACTTCCTCCAGGAAATTGGATTTTCAGTTCAACTTCCTTTACAATTGTTCTGTGACAACTAGACAACTATCCATACCGCTGCCAATCTTGTGTTTCATGAGAGAACCAAGCATATTGAGGTTGACTGTCACTTTATTCGGGATAAGATAGTAGCTGGGGAGATCACAACTCCATTTATGAAATCTGAAGATCAGTTTGCAGATATGTTTACCAAAGCATTGAGTCGTACACGTCTTACAGCTATTTGTTCTAAGCTTGGATTAAATGATATATATAGTCCAGCTAGAGGGGGAGTGTTAAGAATAATAGGGTAGTGTGTGTAAATTATTAATAGCAAGAGGGTGTATGTGTAATTCTTATTACTGTAGGTTAACTATAAATACAAGTGATGTATGAGAGCTAGGTTATATTTTTTTAACCTATCTCTGTTTTCTCTCTAATATTGTTAATCCTCTAAACTTAACAAATTCATTTGAGCATCATTCAAAGTTTTACTTGCATAGTAAATGACATGTGGTTTCTTTCTTTTCTTTGTCCCAATACAACACCTATAGCATAATCACTTGCATCACACATTAGTTCAAAGGGTAGAGTCCAGTTAAGGGGTTGCATTATTGGGGCGGAAATTAACATGCCTTTAAGCTTGTCAAAAGCTTTTTGGCACGTTTCACTCCAATCAAATATTACGTCTTGACTCAGAAGATGAAACATGGGTTTTGCTATGGTACTGAAATCTTTTATGAATCTCCTGTAAAATTCTGCATGTTCCAGAAATGATCGGACATCCTTCACAGTCTTTAGAGCAGGCAATTTCCCAATTAGATCTATTTTGGCCTTGTCAACTTTCATGTCCTTAGACAACACAATGTGACCTAAGAAAATGCCTTGTGTTACCATGAAATGGTATTTTTCCCAATTAAGCACCAGATTGGTCTCATTATACCTTATTAATACCTTTGCTAGGTTGGCCGACACAAATCAAATGAGTCACCACAGACAGAGAAGTCATCCATGAATACTTCCAAAAATTTTTTGACCATGTCACTGAACAGACTCAACATGTATCTTTGGAATGTTGCAGAAGCCTTACAAAGTTCGAACGACATCCTTTTGAATGCAAAAGTGCCAAAGGAGCATGTGAATGTGGTTTTCTCCTGATCATTAAGTGATATCTCAATTTAATTGTACGCAGAATAGCCATCCAGGAAACAGTAAAATTCATGGCTTGTAATTCTCTCTAGAACCTGGTCAAAAAAAGAAAGAGGGAAATGGTCTTTTCTAGTCACCAAATTGAGTTTTTGATAGTCAATACACATCTGTCATCCTGTGACGACTCTAGTTGGTACTAGTTCATTAGCTTCATTTTTGACCACTGTGACCCCAGACTTTTTGGGCACAACTTAAGTTGGGCTAACCCATTTACTATCGGAGATGGGAAAGATTATCCTTGCATCTCAGAGTTTAAGTACTTTCATTTTCACAACTTCCTTCATGTGAGGATTTAGTCATCGCTACATTTGACAAGAGGGTTTTGAATCCTCTTCCAGGTATATGTCATGATTGTAGATCAATGGGCTTACACATTTCAAGTCAGCAATGGTCCACCCAATGGTGCTTTTGTGGTTTTTAAGAACTTCAATCAGTTTAGACTCTTGCAAGTCTATGAGCTTAGATGAAATTACCACTGGGTACGACTCATCCTCTCCTAGAAATGCATATTTGAGGTTAGATGAGAGAGGTTTCAATTTAGGCTTTGGTGGCTTGACACTAGATGAGAGTGGCTTTGTGCCACTTGGTGACAGTTCCTTGAATTTAGGGGTCCATGTATCAACAGCTTGAGTTGGGCAATTCTTTGGATCATCATCTGTTGTTTCAGATGTGATGGATTCTGACAAAGTAAGTTCAATGAAATTTTCATAGAATGCGTTATTCAGATGGTCCTGAATCAAAGACTCAATGGAATTTATTTCTCTTTCTTCTTTGTCCTCCCCTGGGTGTCTGACAACATTGAAAATATTCAGCTCAAGAGTCATATTCCCAAAGGTTAATTTCTTGACCCCATTCCTGCAATTGATTAGTACATTTAAAGTTGTTAGGAAGGGTCGACCAAGAATAACAGAATTGGATTCTCTAAATGCTTTGTTGGCTGAGTATCTAGGACGTTGAAGTCAATAGGGAATACAAAGTTGTCCACTTGGCCAAGTACATCTTCAACAATACCCCTAGAAATTTTGACAGATCTGTCTGTCAACTGAAGTGGGACACTTGTGAGTTTGAGTTCTCTCAGAAAATGGGAGCAAATTGACACTTGCTCCAATATCTAACAGTGCTTGTTTGGTTCTAAAATTTCCAATGACACACGACATAGTCGAACACCCTGGATCTTTGTATTTTGGAGGGGTTGTGTGTTGAAGCAAGGCACTAGCATGTTTTGTCAGAAAAGGCTCTTTTTTGAATATTCTGGCTTCTCTTGACTGTGCACAAGTCTTTCAAAAACTTGGCATAAGATGGAACCTATTTGATTGCATT